TATATTTAATTTTATGTAGTACAATTAATATGGTTATAGTTTTTTTTAATTGACAACATATGTATTTAACTTTTAAAATAAAAGATGATCTAATTACTATAATGACTCGATAACAACTTTTGGACTAATATTTTGGAACTTATTATTATTTAAAAATATTTATTGGAGGTTAAATGCGGATGTTGCTATTTTTATCGATAGACGGCCGCACTCCTATAACTATACACAAAAATGTAAAAATTATTTTATAACAGATAAATGAAGATACATATGTAACAAAAAATATTCAGTGACTTGCGTTAAAAGAATCACTTATGCATATTTAAGTGTCAATAAATTCTCGAATACAACTGAGTTCCATCATCACTTTTTTATTAAAACAATTAAACATTTTTTAAATTTTTACATAAATCTACAATATTTTAGTGTTCTATAACTTATTACTGATATTAAGTCAAATTAGGATAAAACATTAAAAATCCTTTAAAACTTTACGATCACATATTGACAATTATTATAGATTTTCTATGGTTGAGTGTAACTAAAAACAGAATATTTAATTAATATTATTATTTTTTACAATTCAAATTATTATTATTTTCGTTAAGGTACTGGAAAAAAACCTCATTGTTGTAATCTTGACGGATCATTTCCCGAGAACTTACCTGCAGAATGTATATCAGTTTTTGTGCCAGAAAATGATTCAGAGATGAAAAAAAGATGTATACCAATCACTAGAACGAAAGATACATTAGATATAGGCTGTGATATTAAACCTGCGCGCCAAGTAAGAAAAAATTGTAAAGAAAAAAAATATATCTGTATAATGTATTAATAAATAAATTATTATAATGAAATTATAAATTCTATAAGACACAAATTATTTTTACAAAAATATATTTTATTTAGTTATTAATAATCAATGATCAAAGTTATTTTAATATATATTTTTTTTTCTAGATTATCGGAGTCACTAGTTTTCTTGATTTATCATTATTATACGGTTCAAATGATGAAACGGCTCAATCGTTAAGAACCTTTAATGGTGGCAAGCTAAAGTATCAGTTAGGTCCTAATGGTAAAATGTTCTTAAGCAATGTTGAAAACCCAATGAAGTCATGTAATGGTCAAGTCGAAAAGCCAATTTGCTATACTGCTGGTAAGTAATTCGCAAGTATAATTTAATGCAGCAGTTAGCATGATCTGATGAAAGTAACATAAAACACAATCCATGCTAAATCAAGTAGAGTCGTAATTCATTTAGATTTCCAAAAAAAATATTTGAATGCTTAAAACCAAATACGCTGCACACAGACCAATTTTAAGATTAATTATATTAATGTAACTGAGTAACTGCTACAAATTATAAATATATACAGTTAATTACATGATTTGTCAATAAAACTTTCAGAAAATTTTCTTTAGGATTTTGATAAAAATGATAATAGGGTGTATTACCAACCCCGAAATAATTATCATTGTTTTTAATATTCCTAAAACTCATTGTTATCTTTTGATAATAATAATTTGTAATTCCATTACGAAACTAGGAGATACACGAGTAAATCAACATCCCGGAATTGCTGTTCCTACTATATCTTTTTTGAGATTACATAACATTATTTGCGAAGAGCTTAAGACTATAAACCCACAATGGGATGATGAACGGTTATATCAAGAAGCTAGAAAAATGCTTATCGGCATGTATCAACACGTCACCTACAACGAATATGTTCCAATACTTTTAGGTAATATAGTACGCTTTATCTCATTAATACATACAACAATTGACAGAGCATAACTACATCTAGGTGAAAGAAGAATTTCCTATGTACCTTGGCAATTATGGGACCCCGCTTTCAAATTTATTAATCTCCCCCATTTATAGTATTGCTTCTGAGGCCACCAAAAATATTTTCCAAATAATCCCAATAAACGTAGTTACGCTACTGAAAATTGCTATAAAAATGTATATGACAACATAATGAGGGTGTAAAACTTATAAAAAATGCAATATTAAAAAAAAAATACAATTACTCCGAAATGTTGAGATTTTCCAATATTTTTTAATTATATAATTGGCATATAAGAATCATTATTAATATATCAAAATAGTTTTTATTAGTTGGTTCAATAACTATATCTTTAAGTTAAATACAAAAATAGTTATTGTACAAAAATCAACTTTTTTATTTATAATTATTTTACTCAATCTCAGATACGTGTAAACCTTATTATATCAGTGTCACATTCTGCGCATGGTTTAAATTAAGATAAATTCAGGGGATACCAATAAAAACATTTGAAAATCGTTGTTTTTGATCAATTTAATGTATTAAATTCAATTTTGAAATCATTAATAATGATAGAAGCCTTTATAATCAATGATTCAATGCCTTTAAAATTATTTTATGAATTAAAATATAAATAAACTTTGTTTAGGTTCGGATTTTGCCAAGCTTAACGAGCTATTACCTCTTAAGAAAGGGTATGACAATCGATACGATCAGTTTTTAAATCCTACAACATTCTCTAGTTTTACAGCAACAGCTTTTCGTGCTCCTCATAGCTATATTCAAGGAACAATTAAGTTAGTCAATTAGTTAAATTCTGAAATGACCGAATTAAAATTGTTAAGTCTAAGAAGTAAAAAATTTTATAAATATGAAATTTCATATTTTACATTTGTATACGTTAAAATTCTAATTTTGTAGAGTTTATAATGACTATAAAATTACAAATTTAATGTTTGATCAATAAAACTTTCAACATTGATTTACTAGAGTATCGTAAAATTGAATTTACACATTTTTAGACTTGACATTTTTAACCAAGCATTACAACATTTTATGATGATATATAAATTTAAAAAAATTGTACTGCGATAGCTTAATGAACGAGTTTAGAAAAACTACATGCAGTTTAAAATTAAGTGATGTTTTCTTAAAATCTGATTTGATACAAGAAAATGATAACTTCGACAGTATCACTAGGGGAATGATAACTCAACATGCTCAAGGACAAGATCAATTTTTCACGTCACAGGTGAAATTCTATTGATAAATATTTTCAGTAACTATTCATACGTATCTTTAATGTATACAAAGGTACCAAAGTACTGCGTTTTATTGATGTCATCAAACAATTATAAATAAGATTGTTTCATTCTTTCATAGATTAGTAATTTATTGTTCAAAAAAACAAACCCACTTGGAGGCTTAGATCTTATTAGTATAGATATATCTAGAGGACGAGATTATGGCGAACCATCTTATAATCAGTTCCGATTGCTGTGTGGACTTCCGTTAGCAAAAACCTTTGATGACCTCCTCGATCAGATCGACCAAGAGGTTAGCCACGTTCGCTTCAATTTAATAATTATTTAATATATAATACAATTAATATATTTTTAATATATGAAAAATATAAGAAGGTGCTTTTTTTTTAGAATGTATCAATACTCGCATCTTTGTACAAAGATGTAAACGACATTGATTTTTACGTGGCTGGTATGGTAGAAAGATTAAAACCGGGTGCTATACTCGGCCATACCTTCCAGTGCGTAGTTGGTGAAATGTTTTTTAGGTGGAAATTCGGCGATAGATATTATTACGAATTCAAAAATTCTACAGGAGCCTTTACCCTCAGTAAATAATTATTTATCAAAAGTAAGCTTTATGTTATAAAACGTTTAATATTTTCAGATCAACTAGATCAAATAAGGAAAACAACGTTTGCCCAAATTTTGTGCTTAACATCTGATATTCAAATGATACAGAGCAATCCATTTTTCAATCTCCGCGAAGGGTAAATTATTATTTATTTAACATAATTAGATATAAATTAAATTATTTTTATTACATAGAAATCTATTTCGTTTGTTTTTATCAACATTTTTCAACATCATTTAACTTNTTTTTTTTTTTTTTATTAAGAAAAGTTTAATTACAATCTATAAACAAATGGCATAATAATTTAATTTGATTCAAATATTTAACTTGTTATTTATAACGGCTTGATAAGGTAGGCAATCCTGTGGCAAAAACATTATTTAAAAAAGTTTTTACTTCTTTTGAGATAATGAAGTGAAAATTATTTGGGAGCATTTTGGATGATACATTAAAGGTCTAAAGTATATTAGAAGTTAGCAAAGAATCTCAGGTTACACAAAAAAGTAACGCTCAAAAATTCTCACTACTCAATTGGAAATGTCTAAACACTATATAAGGTGTTTTAAAGGTACTTTAAAAATTTAGCTGACATTGCTGTTTACCACCCAAAAAATTTACTTTTTTTTGCTCATCAATTCATTTATTTGAGTTAAATTTAAGTGAATATTGGATGAAACATTGAACATTAGAATGGTGAAATTATTGCACAATATTAATTTATTAATACTTAACTAATTTTCAATAATTATTATATATTGTGTATAATAATAGTTGTTTTAAATTTATCTTTTCAATAAACAATTGTTTATTATGAGGAAAAATTTGTAATTCATAAATTTTTTTTTTTTAACATATTTTTTTTATACAGGGTGTTCAGTAAGTCAGGAAACGGGTTTCTATTGTTCTCATTGTTTGTAACAATGAGAACAATAGAAACCCGTTTCCTGACTTACTGAACACTCTGTATAAAATTTAGAGTAATTTTTTTTTCTTTACAAAATAATAGCTATGCTTTTGAAACTGTTTTGCATATATTAAAAATAAATCATTATTTTAGACGGAGAAATTATTTGATATTAATAATTATTATTTAAATTTTTTTAAATTATAGATCAGTTTTAAAGCCGATTCAAAAAATATTTTATCAATTATAGTATTTATAAATTAAAAGTAGAATTTTACATTTTAAAATGTAAAAATAACGAGTGTTTATTGATTAAAACCTTTTTACCATGTACAAAATATAAATAGTTTATGATTATGAAATCATTCTGTACTTTATCTTAAAATTGAGTTTTGGCAGCAATCTTACTATTTTTTATTTTTCAGATACCAAGCTGTACCATGTAATTGTTTAAAAAATATTAATTTTTCGGCATGGAAAGAATAAAACGACAAATTAAAAAATGATTCTGTAGTACATGATATTTAAAAAAAAATATTTTAAACGCAATATTTTATTATAATAGGTAATGAATCTATTTTTTTTATTCATTGAATATAAAGATGCATGCCGTGTAATAATTCATTCAATAAATAAAATACTGTACTAATAATAATAAAATAATGTTTTTACATAAATGTTTTAAAAATTGACTATCAAATTATTTGTATTTGTTTATAAGAAAGGTTATTTAATTTAATGAAGTACAAATTGAAATATACAAAAATGAGTAAATTTTTCTTACAAAAAGAACCCTAGTTCATAACTTCAATCTTACAAAACCAAAATAACCCTTAATAAATAAGACTTATTTTGTTTTACAGTCATAAAAATAGTTATGGCAAAATATTACAGTGACACTCATGAAGCTTATATAAGGATATTAATATATATTTTTAATTTCATAATTTAATCTGATACTTAAAAAGCCAAAAAAACTTAATATTAAAATACCTCTGTCAGGAATTTTCAACTTAATTAATGGATGATTGATAGTTAAACAGCTAAAGGTGTTTTATGTACTATCACAACTTGAATCTTAGGGGCCTAATTTGATAATGGGACCCATGTAAAAATACTTTCTTCGTTTCTTTTGGCATTCTCCTTGAATATGTAACTAAAAAGTTGATGATAATGATAATAAGTCATCATTATTCATGTCTACAAACCAGGGCTTGCAACCGTTTTCATAACGTTATGATTATAATGTTATAATTACTGAAAAACTATTGAAATCAAATAATGTGTTACATTTAACGAGAATGTTTAATATCGATAAACAACACAACTTCAAAAAAAATAAAAACAAAACTGAACAGACAACAAAAACCTATTGATATATTGTTATAACTTATACTGTACAATAAATTAGGGAAAAATAATTTATCATCCGAGTTGTTTAACCATTTAGTTGCGGCACTTTCACCTAAATGAATTCTAATTATTCCTCCAGCATATTTCTTCAGTGGGCAGGATTCTACGATGTGTCTTGCCGTTTGAAGTCTCTACAGTCACGCAGTGGAGACACAGTCATTCCTCAATTGTGAAACAAGTAATTGCACCTACCCTGCTCAGCCCTAATTATATTAGTTGTTGGCATTGTCATTGTATTGTATTGTAAATTGCCCAATTGTAAAATTAAATTGATTTAAAAATAATTATAAATTTTAAACTTGTCTCAGTAGAGACCTTATGTGATACAAGTCATGTCATTGCGTAATTTTTTTTCGTTGTTCAAATGATGATGAAGATTAATAATTGCAAATTTGATATATATAATTGGGTTCGTATTTAATTAGTGGCACAGAAGAGCCACTGTCCTCAGCTGCATTATTTTAATACCAGGAAAATTTTGAAATGATTTATAATCTAAAATTTTATCAGAAACTTATTTCTTCCAATGAATAATAAAGGATGATCAGCATAAAAATAAATTGTCAGGTATATAAAGAAACCCCCTAAACGAATAAAATTTTAAGAAATATTTTTGTACTATTTATATTAAATTATGTACGCTTACAAACAATCCTAGTCTCTTAAATAAAAAAAGAATTTTTTGCAAAAACACCACTAATTTTGTTTAAAGTATCGAAGATAAGGGAATGTTACATACACTCATGGACATTTTTTTTAATGAAGGTGAGGTTAGTTAAGGTGCCTATACAGGAATTTCATTTAAAATATGGGATAAAGCTTAAAAATCCTCCATTTTTTTATATAATGTGTTAATAAACTCTTAAGCCCTCCCAAAACTTCGGTTTCGTCAAAGTTGGAATGGCAAATTTTATGTTGTCTCTGGTGGTCATTTTTATAAATACCGAGCTGCATATACGAATTAAACTAATAGTACACCATAGCTATGGCATAACGGAAAATAATGACATTTGAATTTTTAATCATTATAACCTCTTTAGCTTCGATTCAAAGCTAAGAAGATATTAATTTTACCATGATGTGTTTTCTTTTGTGTGTGTCTATTGCCACTTTTTCTCTGATCTCACTGGACCGATTTCTTTCAACAAGACGTCAAAAGATCACAAATCGTATCTAGTTGAATCGTAACTACACTCAAAATTGAAAAAATTTCTCTCGTTCTCCGTAAATGGGGGAATCTCCAAAACAATTACAAATATAAAAATCGCTTATTTTCAACATTTTTTCATTTTTTTTTTACTTGAAAAAATTGTCATAACTTTGTTAAACATGACTAAATCAATATACATTTTTTTTATAGATATATGAGGTATTTTTCTACCATTTTGTATCCTTAAGAACATTTTTTCCTTGTATGCCGTAAATAGGGGAAATCTCCAAAAAAATTACAATTTTATGTAGTACTACATTAACGCGCTTCGTTAACGATTATGTTTCAATAGAGAATTTGCTGGAGAAATAAATAACTACTGAAAAAATGAAGGTAATTAATATTTATCTTACTTTTTCTTGTTTTTCTTTTTAATTTATCCTTTTTTTACCCAAATTATCTTGCATGTATTATGAGAGTAATATAGACTGTACTCCTAATCTAAGTCACTCAGAACAAATTTCTATAACAATACGTATTTATTGAATCCAATTAATCAGACGTAAATATTGAAATTTTTCATTTCAAATTCTTGAAATCGTTTTATGCTAAATATTGGTCGTAGACAAGATTAAATGAATATGTTAGTAATGTATAATGTATATTACTGTATTATGTATATTAATTAATAATATATGTGTTTGGTCGAGAACGCCTTTAGAAAAGACCTAGTGGACCAGTTGTCACAAACACTGTTGTTTATATTATATCGTGTGACAGCTGATCTCTAGCAACTTTGCTTTACTCACCCCCTCGCCCACCCAGCACGGTAAATCGATGGCCTCCGTGTCAATTGTCATCAGTGTACAGTTAATCGTCATTAGTCAGTAAGTGAATTGTTTTATATGTCATCTTCTTTTTTGTAGTAAGTGCCTTTGCTTGAATGGTAAACTGTTCGGCCATTGTACACCGTTATTCTTATTATTTGTTTATTGGACCCTTATGCTCAAAGTTCTCTTGCACGTCGCCAGTGATTGGACCCTGACGATCACTAAATAACTTCATTGCCGTAGTCACTTTTATGCCGTCTGTTTTCATCAGCCATTACGTACCTGGATCTACACTCTGACTCGTTATATACTCAAATTTTCAACACCATTATCATAAGATCTCATACAGTCCACTCATCACTATCAACAACTTCGTCTATTTAGCTGAGTTTTAAATTATTTTTTAATGTTATTTATTATTTGTTTTAGTTGCGTTTAAATATATTGTTTTATGCCGCTTCGCCGATCATTAGTATTGAAGGACTCCCGCACGCCTTAAATTTAAGATACTATTGTTTGTCCTATATTATTAATTCTAATGCTTTCAATTTATTTCTTCTTCTTCTTTTTCATTTTCCTCGCCTTAATCCCAACTACTTGGGGTCAGTCACCCTTATCCTAAACTTCCACTTGATACGATCTCCCACATCAATTACGCTCACATCAGCTGTCCTCAAATCGCGTTTAATTGCATCCCTCCATCTCTTTTTTGGTCTTCTTCTACCCCTTCTTCTTTCAACATTCATTTCTATAACTGTTCTTACAGCTCCGATTCTTCTATCCTCATAATATGACCAAACCATCTAAGTCTATTTTCTCTCATCTTATCCACGATTGACGCTTCACCTATACTCCATCTTATATGCTCGTTTCTTATTCTATCTTTTCTAGTCACTCCACCCATCTATCTAAGCATTCTCATCTCTGCTACACTCATTCTCTGCTTTACTTTCTTATCAACCGCCCAACACTCTAAACCGTACATCATAGCTGGCCTTGTAGAATTTACCTTTCAGCCTCATTGGAATTCTTTTATCGCATAAGACGCCAGACGCTTAATGACTTCAATTTATTTAAATTCAAAATTTTATATAAATTGATTAATTNTTTTTAATTTAATAGTAAATGGCATTTGAATTTTTAATATAACTTTATTCGTTTATTAGATATAATCATTTAAAGTTTCAAATTTTTGAATTAATATACAGGTATAATACACAAGGGATTACAAATATAGGTAGCTAATTGGTTTTTTATAACATCGATATTAGCAGATACACAGCATTGTTATTATCAATTGTAGTAAGGCACATTGTTATGAGTTTATAAATACACTAACTGACAATACAGAAAGTATATCTATTGATAATCATAATTGATAATAAACAATCCGTGAATGAGACAGCAATGTCATAAAAATCCAATTACCTACCTATATTTACAATCCCATGTGTATTATACACGTATATTAACTCAAAATTTTGAAACTTTAAATGTTTATATCTAATAAGCTAATAAAGTTATATTAAAAATTCAAATGCCATTTACTATTAAATTAAAAATATGTGTTACCATTTAAAAAAACAAAGTTGACCCCCCTCCAAGGCATAAGGGATCAACTTAAAAAGTATTACATAGTTAAAAATTCAAGAATAATGTGTAACTAAAGATAATAATAAAAAAAAAAAATGTTTAAATTATTATTATTCTGCAAGTAATTGAGTGGGTTATGATAAAAAAATCACCCTGTATAGGCAGTATTTTTTAATAATAATTAATTACCGTGGATACTTTTAATTTCTACATTGATGTTTATAAACAACCGTATTATAATACACAGACTTCAATATTCATTTTGTAAATTGATATAAATCAATTAACAAGTCTTACAATTAATATTTTATGAAGATAATTAAATTGAAGAAGATATTTTACAAGAACTTACAAAAATGTATGCAATTCTTTAATAAAAGTAAAGGTACACCAGGTAAGCCATATTTCAAATTTATTTACAGGGAGAGGATACGGAGATGGGATAATTGATTTTCAAATAAGTCATATGAATCTAATTTACATTACACTTATTTTGAAATTTTCGCCAATGTCTCCCTTAATGGAGGTAGATTATTTTTAATTAGCTTAAGTAGCTCTTTTTATATAGCAAAGAGAATTTTAAACTATTACTCCATTGATAAAATTGATTAATTAATATTTGTTCCTCAAGTGTCAAAGGTACAAATTCGATTTCCGTAGATGTTTTGTATTATTTTAATTGAAAAAAGTTATGCCAAGCAATGACAAAAAGAGTGTAGACAAACTATTGTATACATATAATTATAAAAAATACATTCTTCTTTTTCATTTTCCTCGCCTTTATCCCAACTACTTGGGGTCTGTCACTCTTGTCCTAAACCTCCATTTGAAAGGATTTCCCGCATCATTTACGTACACATAAGCAGCACCCCAATTATAAAAATCAAAAGCAAACAATTTATTACATAGATTAACGTTCAATATACAGGATGTTCAGTAAGTCAGGAAACGGGTTTCTATTGTTCTCATTGTTTGTAACAATGTATAAGGCTATTTAAACATAATTTCTTAACTGATGTTCAACAAAAAAACATTATGGTATTAAGTGTGTGACACCTATTCTTTAATGTTTTTAAGTCTTTCAAAATTTTTTCAATTAACTACATATATAGTCAATATCAGATTGTGCCCTCAATAAAACGATATTCGTTTGCGTTAATCTATATTGATTGATTAAACTCACACCAAACAATAAACCTGTTAACATCCACTAGCAATTTAGGGCAGTCATCATGTGAATTGTTTACCATAAACAATTTGAGATCATCTGATATAATATACATTTAGTGTTTGAAAATCAAAAACAAATGTATTTATTTAAAAATCTATACTTTATTTGTTTCCCTCGAGTCTATTGAATTATATTGTAATAATTTTATTAGCATAACGTTAATCAATTCCAGTTTTTTAGAGTTTTCAAAATGTTCGTTTAGAGAAAAGAACACTTTCTCAGAAAAAAATACTATAGAAGTTTTATTAAAAATTTCGAAAGCAATTAAAAATGCTTCCAAAGAATTAAAAAATGATTTGAAAGAAATTAATAATTGTTTAGAAAAAATAAACAACGATTCAAAAGCTGTTAAAACGACTTTAGAAATTGTTCAAAATTCTATTGATCAATTTAAAAAAATTTCGGAGAACTTTATTAAGTCCTATAAAAATGACAGAAACACCTATTCAAGATCTTGCTTGTGTTATAAATTTGAAATGGATGAAAAAATTAAAGTCGATAATTCAATAGCTCCCTCTATTGATATAGCAGCTGAACTTGTAATAAAGGAATAAAATATAATAGAAAAGAATGAGACTGCAATGTCTTGCCCGTTGAAAGGACATAATTTGGAATTTGCAAATAGTAAAAAAAAATTTTTTGACACAAAAAATTATGCCATGACTTAAGCGACAATATTTAATTCAATTAAGATTGTAATAATTATATTAGCCAATAGCTGCCTAATTTTATTTTTTAGGGTCTTCAAAATGTTCGTTAGTAGAAGAGGATAAGTCTTCAATAAAAACTACTACAGAGATTTTGTTAAGTGCTTCAGAAAAAAATAAAACTACTTCCGAAGAGACTAAATACGCTTCGGAAGCTATCGAAACCAATTCAGAAGTAATTCAAAATTGTATTGACCAAATCAAAAAAAGATTTGGAGGGATACATTTATTCCTATGAAAATGATGCAATGACCGAGTCAGATTCATGCATGACATCTACATTTGTTATGGGCGACCAGAGTAGGGTTGATAATTCAACTGATCCTTTTACTGATATAGCATCTGAACCTGTAATAGAGGAAACTCACATAATCGTAAAGAATGAGGTTGGTAAATGGACTACGTTATGAATTCAATTTAGTATTGAAATTTTAACTTAACATTGCCCTAAATCGTAAAATGTCGTAATTGATTTTTTCTAGGATGATATAATAGGTGGAAAATCGTTGATACATTATTCCAGAACAGAACGTTTTTCGCTATCCTCGTCAATTCCACCTCGCGCAATTGATGTTGAAATGATGGGATATTGCGAAAAAGTTTACATGGAACACAATCGACTTGTTGGTTACATAGTTTGGACTTCTGGTGATAATCAATATGGTTTGATAAGATCATATTTTAATGAATGTCGATACACTTTTTTATATGTATAGAAACCATATAATATCTATAGTAATAAAATCATAATATATAATTATATTTATCTATTTTGTTTATTAGAAAGATGTAATCTCTACGTTTCCGTTCTTAAGAAGAAACACAATTGTGATATTTCGTCTCGATGTTTCCTGTGACCTTCCGAAGTCAATAAAAATCAAAATAAAAGATAAGTTGAAAAATTTTCCTATAATAACTGGTTTTGTAAAATGGATCATTAGATGGTACAATCATACGGCTAAGCATGATTTTATAGTTGATACTCAAAACTACCAAACTTTTGATTTTGAATTAGTATAAAAACATAATCTAAGAAGTAGAAGATTTTTATCAATTACAATTATACTTTGTATTTTAGAAGGATGTCATTGGAAACGTTCAAAACATATCATGTTATAAAAATGTAACGTTTAATATGGATACAACAGGAAAACGTCCGCATCGCCTTAAACATGCTAGTTGAAAATTAGCAAAATGTATTATTGTAATATAAATATTTTTGTTATGTTTCTGTATATAAAATATTTTACGCAAAAAAGAAAATCAGTAATTATATTACTTTAAACAGAGTCATTCGTTTTATCATAAGCAACTAAATTACTGGAAAAATATAAATAATTACGTCCCTTTTTTTTTTTGTTACCTTTAGTTAAATTCTGTTCTGAATCTATTAAATACATAATACTTTTTAAGTTCATTTTTTATACCTTGTAAGGATGTCAACTTAATTGAAGTGAAATTTCTTTATAAAGGCGATGAAGAGGTCAGCGTACAATTTAATTAGTATATTAAAATTTATATGGCTTATTCTATTGGATCTCACTGTATACTAAGATTTAATGGATAATTCTTTAGGTTCACTCTGTATACAAAGATTTAACTGGTGTTATATCTTATGACAATATTGTAACGTAGTCAAAGTGACTCTTAACAAACTAATTAGTGAGCACCTTTCTGATACCTAATCGAAGTGTCTGTAAGGCACATACTATTCAATGATGATAGATTTATGTTAGAATGTATGATATTAATATACTTGAACTATTGATTTATCGTTCTTTACTCAAATTATTATAAATATGATGTATAATGTTCGTTGAGGGTCGATCTCAAATCTCTTACTTGAATTTTGTCAATTAGCACAAACAAAAATTTAATAATGTTTCTTTTTTTGTATAAAATATAATTAATGATTCAATAATTCATATAATAATAAACTTATTTTTAAATATGAATACATATTTTATTTTAAAAATAAATGTGTGGATTTTATTTTTAATAGTAAATGGCGTTTGAATTTTTATTATAATTTAATTCGTTTGTAAAATATTAAAAGTTAAAGTTTTTGATTTTGAGTTTAAATACATGTTTAATATTCTAACAGATAACTAATAGTTCGTATGTGAGAAGTAATTCATAGATAAGCAGCGTTTATTGATGTTGTCACTCAATAGTGTCGTAAGTGCATAGTGTTTATTTATAAAGTGATTTATTAATAATCTGTTAGTACAAGTAAATATTTTGTCGCTACGACTTTGGTTTCTTTCTCATAGTACCCTAAACGGTGAACATTTTTTTAGATGATTTATTAATATTTTATTCAAAAATAACCTTTATTATTACCTAATATCCTTATAAGAAATTAAAATTGTTTTATTTTATTTTATGAATAAATTAAATATTATTGTGCCCTTTATTTCTGGACAGCTGAAAATGGCTACCGTATGCTATTTTTGTGTTAAAATTCTAGATTTTATATTTTACATTTTTAAAAAATGCATGAATCAATTTTATTCTTTAATGATAAATACTTTATATGAGGCGCATAGAGCCAAAACAACCTAACCCACAAAAAATCAAATTATGTTTTATATGATAAAACGTTTCAGATTGATATAATATTTGAAATCCACAATGGTCAATCCCACAAAATCCCTATGCTACTGGATAAATGGATTAGGCCATCTGAATTATAGTGAGTTATACTGTTAAATGCTATTTTTATTTTAATTTGTTAGGTTTATTAACAATCATAACATTGTTTATTAATATTATTCAATACTGAAGACTGTATTATGTGATAATTATGTTAAAAATGTATAAATACCAAATTTTCAAGTTAATCAAATTTATTAAAAGTAAAATATTATTAACTGAAGTATTGTTACTCACTACAAAAAGTAATTTTATTTTTTTGTTTTGTTAAGTTTAACAACAAACTCATTGTTAATAATCATTCTGTACTAAAACTTAATTACAATATTATTTAAAAAAGTTACTAATAAACTAATACAATTATTTACATACTATTTTTGTGTTGTGTGAATAAAAGTGAATAACAAATTTCCAATAAGTTAGCCTAAACCACAGAAAATTCTATTTAATAAAAATTTTCAAAATTTATAGTGTCCTAACCCGCATCAAAAACTTAACCAATTTTAATTGTCTAATACTTTATAGATGGTTTAAAAGGCAAGGATTTATACATACTAATGAGTTATTATTTCCTTGGAGTGGATTTAAAAAAAAAAAAAAAATATTGAACTTTAAATGCCTGTCCTGCGCAATTACACTTTTGTGGGTTAGGTTATTTAAGCTCTATGAGCCTCATATATACCTCTTTTATTCGACATACTTTTTTTTAAATCGGACCATTTTCCTTTATACAGAGGGGGGTCAAAACTTTAAACATGCGTATTGAAATTAGGACATTTTCAATTTCATTTTTGAAAGTGTTCCAGAAATACTGACACTTTTATATATATCTTAAATTAAAGCTTATGAAATATACTTTAATTTGAAAAAAAAAAATTTACCTCTGAANACTTTTAAATATATCTTAAATTAAAGCTTATGTAATATACTTTAATGTGAAAAAAAAAAATTTGACCTCTGGATTTGTCTTCATGGTAAAAATGACTACCGTATTCAAAAATATGCTATTTTTGTGTTAAAATTCTGGGTTTTGTATTTTATTTTATTTTAAAATACCTGACAAGGGAAGGACACAGATTTTCATAAATATTATATAAATAAAATTGATATAGCATAGAAAGTTAAACTTGTTAACATTTTTTTGCTCTTTTGAAGTCAAGAAAAATAACTTTGAAATTTAAATTAGCTTAAATAGCCATTTTTTTTCGCCCAATAGTAGCGACGTATAGTTGTTGAGTCGGTTAAACTAGTGTTATACGCGCTAGGGGTACATGGTTCTAATCCGCGTACGGCAAGGAATTTTTTTAATTTTTTCTTAATTCTTTTTAAGTTAGAATAAATTTTCAACTCCTTTGATTTTTATCTCATTTAGATTCAATAACTTCAATAATGATCAAGGATCCCATCAAAGTAGTCGCCACTTGCGAGAAAAAATTTCCTATTCATATTAAAATTATTTTACTATATTTTAAGTTTTAGCTTCGATGCAAAGCTGAGAAGATATTTTTTTGTGACTATCATTTATTTTCTCTGCTCTAACTTGACCTACTTTTTTCAACGATACGTCAAATGACTACAATTCGTATCTAGTTGAAGATATTAAATTTATATAAAAATAAGATTTACAATAAATAGTAATTATAAAACTTCCTAACAGAATATTAATCTTAACAATACAATTTTTTTAATTCTCATAAAATTTTCTATTTAATGTCAATTTCAAACTTGCCAATTGAGCTAAAAGTTATGGTAAAATAAATAAATTTTTTTTTATTAACATTCACAAAAATCAACTTTAAACGATTAAAAAAATAGGTTAAATATGTCATTTTCCTTATTTTTAACATATTAATAATCAAAATCAGAATTAATTTAAAATAAATTTTGTTTTTTCTTAATAATTTTTTTTTATTTGTAAATACTTTATTGTTTTGGGCTCTTCCTTATGGTCAGTTGCAATACTGAATATTTGAATTTCAATTTTAAAATATACATTAACAATCTATAATAAGCAAATCAATAAATAAATTATTTCTGTATATAAAAAACAATCTATTAATTTTTTTATGTCATGTGTCAAGTGGAAGTTAAGAATAATGATGGTCAACCCTAAAGTAATCGTGAAAAAGGCTAGGAAAAAGAAGACTGTTCACTTGAAGCTACCTAGATTAAAATTGCATTACTGTAATATGGTATAATTTATATTATAATGAATTTTTCAGGATAATTTTAATATTTAATAACTTAAAAATGTATATGGTGAAAACTTACTCTACAAATAATTATAATTGTATTAATATTTTCTCAGTATTATCAAATAATTACTTATTTTAGATCTTATAAAATAAAATATTTTTCCTAGAAAATTTTTAAAAAGAAGTGTTTAGTTTGTAAATATAAAATAAAACAATATTTCTTCTGAGTAAATAAACAAAAAAAAACATTATTTTAATGTATACTCAAATAGCATGCATTTATTTCTATTTAAATTAATTATAACTAAAACAAAATTATGTTAATCAATGACAATAAATGCATGTATTATTCAAAACCATTTAACCAAACATATTAAGAAAAAATATAAATTTATATATATTTATATATATATATGTATAAAGACTGTACTAAATAAAAAAATGAATTAACCTAGCCCGTGAAACCAACAAAATTAATGTATTATATATTTAAATGTAATAATTAAAATAATAATAATAATAATAATAATAAAAAAACATTAATTACAATTATAAATGTTAACATAAATAATATAAAAATTATTTCATTTCATAACATTAATTTGTTGAATTACAACGAAAAAATAGGACAAATTGTTTTCTTGATTATGGCTAACAAAAATAGCTATACAAAAATTCATACTATAAAGTAAAAAAAATATTGTCATTTATATTTTAAAGTTATTAAGATCTAGAAATAGATACGCACCACTATTTACACTGCAACTTATCACATATTTTAAATATAAACATAAACATTGTACATAAATTCAATTATTTAACTTATTTTTATACATACAATTTTTGGTTGAAATATAATAATTGATAACAAAACAAAAATAATTATCTTATTACAAAATAACAGACCACTTGTATAATCATTAAATTTGAATATAAGTGACCATTTTAAAATTACTTACAATTGTAGTTATTATAGACATCAATTTAATTACCCCGATAAAAAATTTACTAGTCACTTACTTAACCTAAAAAAAATCATGATATATACCTGTGTATGTTTTTTATAGAAAAAAATTAAGTCTGTTGGTAAAATAGAAATTCTAGTGAAAATATTGATATCACAGACCTTATACTAAATAGAAAGAATAACAAAATTAAAAATTTTAATCATAGAAATATAGATAATTCTTAAATTTTAGTGATTTGGTAATAAGATATATAAAATACCATTTAGTGAATGGCAGTGTATAGTAGCAAAAATATTAGTTGCATGTTATTTATTTAAACATGAATTTTTTAAAATATACTTCATTAATTGCTGTTACATTTATTACGTAAAATAGTTTAACTCATAGTATAACTACATAAATTTACATCAAATTTTTGTATAAATAAAATATTATCAACTGAATATTAATTAAATTACAGCATGCTGTAATTTAAACAGCAGTATGTTTAACAAAATGCCAACAGAGTAATTATTTCATAGGCCTAATTATTTATATAAACGATTCTAATAATAATATAACAAACAATAAAATGTTTAGTAAGAATAAAACAAATTACCACAATTTAAGCAACAATAATAAGTTATATAAATATACAATTTAGATAAAAATAAAATATTAACACTTTGTAGTACTTAAAAAAATAAAATAATTAGTCCTTAAAAATAAAAAATAATCTCTAATATTACGTTGCAAATGCATAATTCAATTTAATTACTTCTTCAACATGGACATATTAAAATATACACATAATTTTAAAATATGTGCATAAACATAAAATTTTTAAAGATATAAAATTATAACTTTTTATTTTGGGTCAGATTCAATAAGATATCTTTCAATAAATATAAAACTGAATCAATAAAACAATAAATTTTAACTTGAATACATTGTAATTACAAAATTACCAAAAAAGAAATTGGGAACAAAAAAATTGTAAATTTAGGCTAGGTTAATAAACTAATTTCTTTTTGTAAGAATAATATAGCGTGGCAAGTAGATAAGTGATAAAAAATTAATATATTTTATCTGTAGGAAACATTTTATTTTTTTTTCAAAAAAATTATATGCTATTGAGGATACTTATTTATTAAATTTATATTTATAAGAGTTATTTGTTAATTTGAGCCTATGTAAACATACATATATCATAGATATGATTATATATATATATATATATATATATATATATACACATATAATCATACATATTTTAAAAATAGTTCATTTTAGATTTTTAAGTCCAATAATAAAAGTTATGAAACATTAATAAACCAATTTTGTTGTAGTATACCCTTATTTCATGGTGGTTCTTGTTTGATATTCACAATAATATATGAAATCGAAGGTCATTGAGGCTGATGTTGCAGTAATTCTAAGGCTTCTCTAGCATCAGATTGAGTTAAAACAATACTATCACCTTCTTTACTTTCCTCATTTGACTCCAATTTGGTAATAATCACTTGATGGTGTTCAACATGTGCTGGTGATGGACTTCGATGTTGCTGTCCACTTACAGCTTCAATTATCATTTCTTGTTGAGCTAAACTGGGACTACTAGGTTGCTGTTGGATTTGTATTTGAATTTGTTGTTGGTGTTGTTGCTGAATCTGTTGTTGCTGCTGAATTTGTTGTTGTTGTAACATTAAGAGCTCTTGTTCTGTTAGCTTTTGGTCACCTTTAGTTATAACAATTTGGTTGTCATTAGGAGGACTAGGAGTACTAGTTCTGCCACTAGCTACAGCATCAATTATCATTTCTTGATGTGCTACATTAATGATAGGTCCTGAATGATTTGTATTTTGTACAAGTTCAGGGATAGATAATTTTTGATGATCAGATGTTGACACTTGATCAGCCATTTGTTGAAGAGCAGCCTGTTCTTCTTTTAGACGTTTAGTAATATGACTCTGAGTGTGTTTTCTTAAATGGTCCCTACGATAAAATCCTTTGCCACAGTCAGGACATACTTCAGTTTTGACACCAGAATGAATAACTGCATGTAAATTTAGATGCTCTTTTCGCTTAAAACCTAAAAATTAATATTATATATACTTAACTTTTAACAACAACTAACTATTTTGTAATATTTTGAAAATTTACCTTTGCAGCAAACATTACACACAAATGGACGTTCAGGGTTATGACCTAATTTATGACGCTCTAAATGCTCTTTTCTTTTCAGTCCAGCTCCACAAAGGTCACAAATAAACCTTCTTTCTATTTTATGGGCAACTAAATGTTGTTCAAGCATTTCTTTATCTGGATATGCCATACTACATTCTGGACAGCAAAACAGTAATGTACCATCTAAAGCTGTAGCAATGTGTATTTGACCAGGACGTGGCTTTCTAGCAGCAGGTGGCTTTTTTTTGTACTTTTTTTTCCTTTTACCTTTATCCTAAAGTCCAATTTAAATTATCTTAAGATAAATGAATTTTAAAATCCAAGTTAGATAAAAAGAAAAAATTGAAAATTTATTAATTAATTATGTGAAAAAAAATTAACAAATTAAAATTTACAACTAATTTGCAAGTGTTTTACAAAATTAATTGTTCCAAATATAGAATTGGTTCTTCTACTTGGAAGTCAAAATATAACAAGAAAAAATCTTAAATCAACACTGTTTGAAATAATTTATTTAGAGAATATCTTGATAATGAAATTTTTGAAAGAAATTACTTGACTACTAGTATCCTCGTATACTACCATTTCACTATTTCCATCATCATGGGTTCCAGATGACTCCATATTTTCTCTTTTACTGTTGTCAGGAGAAAATTTTAAAAAATGACCCAATGGTAAATTATCATGATTCATTGATATATAGTCAGCCAAAGACACAGAATTACTTGTATTAGAAGAATACATAACATATTGATTACCTATAAAAGTTATTTACATATAACTTTTTATTTTAAAAGTCAATTTCATTAGAGATAAATTTTACCAGAATCTTGTTCATTTTGAAGCCTAAGTCTTTTATCCGTCTGGTTATCTTTTTGTTCGCTGATCATTTTATTGTCTAATTGGTTTCTTCGCACTACCATATCTTGATTAACTACTACTGCTAGAGGAAATGGTATGCCACTGGTGTCTGTACCACTTTGTTCGATTATTACTGGTTTAACATCTTGAATTATTTCCTTAAAAAAGTACATTGAACTGAATCAAAATCATAACAGCATAAGAATTAGTTTAAAATAATTACTTGGTCGTCTTGAACATCTTGAAGTAAGTCTGATGATTGCATTGAATCATTATTATTATTATGAATTTGGTCATTTGAACCATCTCCTTCCTGTTGTATCTGAAAAAAAAAATTATATAATATAATTAATTAGATAATTTTCAATTTTATAAGCTAATTAAATATGTATGTTAACACTTTAAAAATAAAGTTGACACCCCTTTAAGTTATAATGGATGATCCTAAAAAGTGATTAATATTAAAAATAATAGTAATTAAAAGAATACGACTGATTAATAACTTTTGGATCAGTATTTCAGAGGTTATTGAAATATTTATATCTAAGTGAGAGGAAAAATATGGCCAGAACATGTTTAATTATAAAAATAGCAGTACCCACTCTTTTCTCCAGTAATTACTTTAAATTGTTAATCTCTTCCGAAATACTGGTACAAATGTTGTTATCGACCAGTCATTTTCTTAATTAGATCATTAACAATTAAATAAGCTAGTTAATTAGGAGTCTTGCCATTAGAGAAATTTAAGTTGACATTCATATTATGTATAAGAGAAAAACAAAAAAAATTAAAAGAAACATTGCACTATAAAAAACCAATAAAAAAAACCCAGCACAGGGGGGTCGCGGCACAGTGATGACGTGGCATAGATGGATCAAGTATAATGATATCTGACAGTGATTAAAATCACTATCAAAAAAAAACGCTTCAATGCAAATCTTTAGTGTTTAATTTTAAAAATTGGTGGATTTTCCAAAAGCTACATGATCTGCTAGTTCATTATTAATATCCTAATTAAGATAAAGTATGTCGAATTAAAAAGGGATTATTAGAAAATATTATTTCTCATAATACTATGACATATTGAAAAGTGTATGACTTTTCAATATGTCATAGCATTATAAAGTTAAAAATGTAAAAAATAAAATCGAGGATTTTCACACAATAATAGCATTTGGTAGCCATTTTCACCATGAAGATAAAATAAAGTCCGAAATTTTTTTTTTTCATGATAAAGTATATTACATTAGCTTTAATTTAAGATATATATAAAAGTGTCAGACCTTCCGGAACATTTTCAAAAATCAAGTTCAAAAAATTAATTTTTTGTGAAAAAGTTGTCATTTTAAAATTCCCCTTTGTGGGCAGGTTAAGGGTTAAATTTAAGAAAAAAATATACCATATGAAAGGTAATGATATTATGCATTTATATAAAAAAGAATTATATTGATATGTTCATTTTTGAAAAAGTTATGGCACTTTTAAGTAAAAAAAATTGAAAAAATTTCGAAAATTAGCGATTTTTAAATTTGTAATTTTTTTGGAGGTTTCCCCCATTTACAGGGAACGAGGGAATTTTTTTCAATTTTTAAGAGTTATGTCTTCGACTAGATACGATTTGTGATCTTTTGACGTATCATTAAAAGAAATTGGTTCGGTGAGAGCTGAGAAAAAGTGGTAACAGCACAAAAAAAAAAAACACATCTTAGTAAAACCAATACCTTCTCAGCTTCGCATCGAAGCTAAAATTGATAACAGTTTTTTTATATTTGACAATTTAAGTGGTTTATAATAAGTGAATCACTCTGTATATAGTAAATATATAATATATTATATAGTACACAGCAATCTTACATTATAAAAAATAATTAATATAAAATAAACAGATATGCAGAGTGAAACACGTAGATATGACAAATTTAATCATTTTAGATTCAGCAAATATTTTACATTACTATTTTTTTTTAATTTATTAAATTTAATTAAAAATTTTTATAAATGTTCAAATGAGTGACTTTATGTAATATATTAAAAAAATATATTTGTTACAATTCTTTCTTATTAATATTTTGTAGTTAAATTTCTAAAATATTTTGAAGTTTGAAAAACTAATTTTTTGTGTATACTTTACAATATCAATAGATAGTAATGTTTTGAAGAAAAAAATAGAGATATATAAAATATTTACACATTAAATGTTGGTTATAGACCTTAACTATTTCCATGAAAATTATTATAATTTGAACAGGCTCCATTAATTTTACTAATTATGGTTTATATCGAATGATTCACAATATTTTACAAATTTGTATGGTAGTTTATTTATAATAATTGATGTTATATGATTAAAATTAAAATTTTTAAATATTTTAGAGTAATATTGAAAATAAGTAACTCAATTAAAATATTTTTTAAAAATCTTTTAAATAAATACCAAGGAAAAAATTTAGGTCTTAATATCTGTACCTCAGAACTAAACTAAGTAACATTGATTTTTCAGAAAAGCATAAAAACAAAAAAATGTAACTTTTTTGAATCACTGCAGAAATGTAAATAAAAATTAACAAGCCAATATTGTTAATCTACATTAAAAAAATATATGGTTAATAAACCATAGTTAATTTTTATAAGAATTATGTTTATTTGATGCAAACTTAAGTTAGAATTTAAACTCTTAAAACTTAAATAATAGAAAATAGATGTTGTAACAGTGATATCTGCTCTATAAGAATAATTTTCCAAAGATTGTAAATAATATATAAGATAGTTTTCTATTATATTTGTAAACAGGTGATTGGTTTAACATAAACCACCTAAAATAAACACAATATTAGAAAAAAAATTTTTGATTTCTTTAAATTATATATTTCTTGATTTATTAGCTATTAATTACTTTTAGAATCATCTCTTATAACTTAAAGGGATTTCAACATTATTTTTTTTATAGGTAATGTACATATTTAATTAACTTAAAAAATAAAAAATCATCTAATTTAGAAAATGACTGATTGATAACAACATTTAACCCAGTATTTTAGAAGTTAGTAACAATTTAAAGTAATGACTAGTGATAAAAATAGCAGTACCCATTTTTATCACTAGTCATTTTTACAGATGTACTCATCTCGTATAAATGTAAAGATAAGAATTATTTCCAAAGTACTGGTCCACGATGTTATTGACTAGTAATTTTCTCAATTAGATTAAATATGTATGTTGCCATTTAAGAAATTTAAGTTAATACCCCTTTAAGCAATATGGGATGATCCTAAAAAGTAATTAAGAGCTAATAAATCAAGAAATTATAACTAAAGAAATCAAAAATTTTTTTCCAACATTGTATTTATTTTGCAAATAATCGGATGGTTTATGTTAAACCAATCATTCTGTATATAAGTATTTTAAATTATTAATTTTCAAATTTATAATTATTTATAATTTATAATGCTAAACACATACTGTTAATAGTAACTTAAAATATATCACTGAAAATATAATTAGCTTAAATGAAATTGTAAAAATAAAAACTGTTTGATTTCTTTTGTAGTTTACATCAACATTTTAATAAACTCATTATCATTTAAAGTACCACTAAAATAAAATTTAATATAATCTATTTTCTTAAAACATGGTTAGAAAAAAATGCTTTTAATTTTCATATTGATGACTTTCAAGTTTTAAATAAATGTTAATAAAACATGTTATATTTCTTTTTTAATATCAAAAGTTAATTCATGTCAATATTACATATTTACAATATGTTTTGTAAATTAAAAAATTTAAATAGTATTCTATTACCTAGTAATATGAAAATGATTTTCAGTGTTCTTGCACAATCAGTTTATACTTAATTTTTGTTAGTGGGGATAAGTATTTATGAAAAATATTTGAGATTACTAAGAACTACAACAAATTTTTTACTGAAAATAAACTCTAAGAAACCTTTTTATTGAAATACTAACATATATAATACATAAGGTATATTTATGTTAAAAAAAATCTCGTAGTAAAGAAATTCTAAACAAATTTTATCTTTTAATCCCTGAAAGCATCAATTTCAGCACACAAGCTTTTGGAGACAATTATTTATTATAATTTATATCTTTAAATGTAATAAACTTGTTATAATTATTAGTTAGAAAACATGAACATAAAATTTAGAGATAAATATTTAGTTATTTACTTGAAGCTGAATACTTCCATTAGTGTCTTGTAATTGCTGATTATATGCAGCTAACTGTAATACTGGACCAAACATAGGTAAAAGTTTGTCACCCGATATACCACCTTGCCCCACAACTTGAATTTGTATTGTTTGGCTCTGCTCCCCAGGTTTTGAACCAGGAACCGTAATAGGAATTGTGAATATCTAATTATTTAATTTTTTTTTAATAGAATTATACTTGGAAGATTAAGAAAAATGTTATTATTTAATACTTGGCCTTGTTGACTGGAAGATCCAACACCAGCCAAATTAACTGCAAATCCATTTGAATCAAGTGGTCTTAAATAAGTAACACCAGCTTCATCACTATTTAATAATGCAACTACTTGTCCACTTGTATTGGAGGTATTAACTACAGAACTAGCATTAACTGTAGCAGTTTGTTGCTGAACATTTGTATATTTGTTGCCTGTGTTTCCCTGAGTAATGTTACCACTTGAGCAGGTATTAAAAGAAGAAACCGGCGTAGCGGTCACAAAAGTAGGATAACTCCCTGTATTCATTGTCTAAAATTTAAAAGATCATATATTTTAATGCATCAATAATTAAGTTTTAAATTAAATTAAAAAATAATTACAACAAAATATAAAAAATAATACTTAATTGAGATTAAAATTAGACTAATTAATAAAATAAACTAATATCGCATAATATAAGATATTAATTCAATTTTTTCAAATGGGAACTTGTGTCAACGAGTTGAAACTAAACACACAAAACTCATTATAAAATTGAAACCTAACATCTAGGCACCTAAACATGAAGTTTTTAGAACCAAGCAAAATAGGAAACCAATAAATGCAAAGAATCAATTTGATAATATATTAGCAGCAAATACAGATAAAATAACCATAGAGTTTATGCCAAGAAAATGTTTTAATGGAAAGACATTTTTCTTAAGTTGGAGATCCTACAAATGAATATAAATCCAACAGTAATCTTATTCTTTGATTTTTAAATTTAAATAATATTCACATTTGATTATTAACTCACATAAATGATTTATTTAAATAATATGTGACATCTAGAAATACAAACGTGAAAAGCTAAATAACTAAAAAAAAATTATTCTTAGTTAGGCAAGGAAAATTGCATAAACAACCATTATTAATTGAAGGAAGGCGTTTTAAATTAATAAAGATTTGAAAAACATTTTAATAAACAATACTACCTTTATGTGAGTAGGCAAGAGGAAAAATATTTTTATCAAATCTAAGAGATTGTTTAGTTAATTCAAATTCTAAATTTATTATTATCTAAAAAAAACCCTACAAATATCAATATGTTCATTATAATTTAAAAATTTGATTAAGTTATCAAAATTATAAAATTAAGTATCAAAAAAAAATGTTATATTTTAATATAATATTAAAAAAATTAATAATAATACAAAATTTGTATTTAAAACATTTAATGTATTAAATGTTTTTGAATTGAAATAAAAAAATTAATTTTTAAAAAAGATATCTGTATTTTCAATTATTATATTTTTAAATGATTTACCCATTTACTAATAGAAATTTTGAAAAATAATTCACTACAAATAGGTCTTCATTTTGAAATTCTCAAAACTATTTCTAATTGTAGAGGTATATATAGTCAAATTTTAACATTAAGAAAAAAATCTTATGTTAAATAAATAAAAAGTCTCACACAATACTTTTACAGAAAATTAAAATATAAAAAAATAATAACAATCCCCCCTTAGAAATAGTTCTTATCAAAATAACATTTCCAATGTATAAAAAATGTCAATTTTTATATTTATACACAGTAAATAACTCATTTTCCCTTATATTTCAATAAGAGTAAAAATTTAAATGTATTTTTTTATGGGAAGTATAACAAAGGGTATAATTTCTAAAAAGATTGACTTTAAACATAAACACATGCCTTAATTACAAAAAAAAATATAACGATACTTGATTTTATAAAGGTTTGATTCTTTGAATAAAATTTATTATATTTAATTTATCAGTAGTAAAATAGAATTAAAACATTTAAAGTTTATTTTAAAAAAGTATCAAACATCAGACCCAACACGAACATTAATTTTATTTTAAGCATTTTTGTGTTGCCCCACTATACCTCTTCAATGTTATCCATATGATGGTGATATACACCCCATCCAGGCAATTAAATGACCACAAAATTTTCGTCAACCAGTCACTAAATAACTATTGTAATAAACTAATTAACAAAATGATCGAAAAAGTCATTAAAACGAAATTGACAACGGAATGTAACAAGTAAATCACATACACTCTTAACACGCACACACAATCATTGACAATCACCAACTGCCTGCTGCTTTCACTTTCTACTCAGTCGCGTATATAATGAAGAAAAAAATTGTATTATTCTTAAGAACCAGGATGTATATTCGTGTGCGTGTGTGTATATTGTGCGCGCGCTGTGCACTGACAAGACCTACTTAACAATAAAAAGCTACTTTCTCAGGCACATAGTATTTGTGTACATTTAATTTTTTTGAAATCAATTTTTGAAATTGAGTCATGATTAAAAAAATAATGTACAGCCGATATCAAATATTACAACAGAATGTTGACGGACCAACGTCACACCGTGATGTAGGAAGACAAGAAACGGCTTACGTTGAAAAATAAATTTTAAAACACAACCATGCCCGTAACAGCAAGTACGATGTCAACAAAATAGATCCTTTAGGAGAGGGACGCACCACCAACCCAAGTCGGGATGAAAACGTATAGCCAACACGTTATACATACACATAGGTACACACATACACGGAGTTAAAGGTAGGGGCAGAGCCATTTTAAAGAGAAGGCCCTGCACGGCGGTGCAGAATACAAGCGGCGGGGACACCACCAAACAAAACCCATCGCCACCGATACAACGCACATTTATACTCACTCAGACGTTAGCTTTCGGTGGCCCCGATTCGACGTGGTAATCATACACTCGAACTTTTGAGCGGGTAGCACGCACTTATAGCTAAAATTAAAAACGGGGAAAAACAATAATTAATAACAGAGTGACAAAAAAAACAACAACAACGACCCACTACTACATACCGCGTTTATCAACGTATATACAGTACTCGTTAAAACTACAGAATACCTTTCGCCGTCCACGTACACGCCATTGCCAATGAATATTTTCACGGATCAGTGTTGCCAGTTGTCTAAATTTTCATTGCTTAACAACTCCCTGTCGAGTAATACCGTACACCACTGATGACCTTGGCCATGATACTGACGCGAATAACGAGTATAAGACTTGTTGAATGTGCCTATTAGCGTCACTTATCAACAAATACGGGCGTCGTCTGTATGGTATTGGTAACACTGGTTTTACCGTTATTCGTCTACCTTTGGCGTAGACTATAGTTTACTCGAGCACAATTTAGTTTTTAAAGCATGTAACATAATCAACTCGTTAGTCCCATAGAATTAAGGTGTTTAGCCCTCCTTTAATAAATGTATAATATCCACATTAATAAATTGTTGATGAAAAACAAGTAATATTGCTATATATAGTCCGCTACCTTTAACGCATAGATATGATTTCACATCAAACAGCAAAAATGATTAAAACATAGATTTACTACAATCTAAGTAGCAAGGAGAAACACAAGGGTCAAATAAAAACGACAAATGTTTATTCATAACACTCAAACTAAATAATTTATAAATATAATGTCTCAACAAAATAATGTAAATAGTAATCTTACACTGATTAGTGTGCTAAAATGTATATTGCGCTGACTATTATATTCCTTAATATAATTTTAATCTATTACAAAATTAAATGACTAACAACAAGTAATAAATTACAGTTTAAAACATTTGTGCTTGCTGGCTTAAGGTAAATATTATTTTTAAATATAAACATAATGAGACATGGGGTACATTACAAGATAGGTAATCAAAATTCATTAGTTCGTATTATGAATTAATATCACCAAATTAACCCAACATTTATGTTAGTAATAAATGTTCAAATTATTTTTAACATTTAATCGTGCATTTTATAAAAATATGTTAGATCATATAGATATATTTAACTGAAAGAAAATATAGTGATTTATTTATACTAACATTCGATGATTAAAAATATTAATTATAAACAAATTAATTTAACAAAATATTTGTTTTATAAAATGATGCTTACTTAAATTTTGAAAATCTATGTTTTATTAATTCTACCCCAACAAATGAGACCAATATTTTCTTCATTTTAATGATATCAATTTATTAAGTTTAAAATGTAGGCTAAGACTTTCTAAACACAAATGGTAACACATTTTTTAAGTAGACAAAAACTTATTTTATATAAAAATAATTATTATTTTTGCACAATATAAAATGTCTAATCACATATTTAAATATTAATTTTAACAAATTTACTATTTTAAATAAACCCAATTCATATGTTTAGGTTCATATGCAGCTTTTTAAAAATGATGACAACAATTACTTCATTTTAATCTGATAATATTCATAATTAACAAAAAAATTATAACAAAAAGAAAGATTTGAATAAAATTGCACTTAGAAAAGAAAATAGCCCTCCACATACTGAAAGAGAAGGAAGCATTAAGAAATTTTAATTTTTAACTTGATTATTTAGTTTTTTTTTTTTTTTTGTACAATAGATATGTGGCAACAGATATTTACAAGGAACAATGATAAATAATAACAAAAATAGATAATTTACTGTAATTAGGGGGTGGTTTTTTTTAGGTTCTATCTAATCTATTTTTTATTAACTTTTGTAATAATAGAATATATTTACACTTTATATAACTATAACTATAAAGAAGACTGTAGGTTTTGAATAAAAGTTTTGTAAAAATACAATATATTAGACTACATTTTATAATTTACTGTCATTATTTATAGTTTAACAACAGAATATATTATATATATATATATATATATATATATATATATATATAATCATTATGCTGAAGCAAATTATATATTAAGTAATTTATAGAATAACTAGATATTATAGTTTACACAGAAAGAAAAACCAAATTTGATTTAAGCTAAAATTAATTTTAAAGAAAACAATTCAAAATGTTAACAATAACTTTATAGACCACATATAATATATCAGACATATACATAATTTTTATGTACAAATAAAATATTCAGAAAAATATCAATTACAAATATTATAACAATAAAATCTTTTATGTCTAATAATATGTATATTACCTTTATGGGACACCATTAATTTCTTGTTGATAAAAACTTATTTTGGCGCGTTTAACTTGTGGTTCTTGAAACTTGTCAGAATATTTTGTGTCATCTTCTTTAGTTTCATCAAAATTTTCTTGTTTAACTTCTTTTTTTTCTTCAATCATTTCTTCATTGATTATCAGTTGTTGTTCTTCTTCTACAACACCATTTTCAGAAGATTCTTCTGGTATTACTTTAGGCTAAAATATAGCACACAATAAATAATTTTAAATAAATTATCATTGACCTTAATTAATTAGATAAAATATTGACTACCTCTTCAGTGCATTCTTCCATAGTCTTCTGAGTATCGTCTATTATTTCTTCATGAATGTCTTGAATTCCTAACTCGCTTGATTCAATTTCTATACCTTGAGTAGGATTATTATGAGATAAATCTTCATCCCTTTCATTATGTTCTGATTTATGATGATTAACTGCTTTTTCAATATTTAAATTATGACTCAATTTTGACCTATTTTTATAAACAACAAAAATATGTATCAACACATTTAAATTTATAGTATATATATATATACATTAGTACTAGTAAACTTATAGTATGGAAAAACAAAATACAATGATTTTTCATTACCTTTTACAGAATAATTCATTCTATAGATGGTAATAGAAAATTCATGAACCATTTAATTAAAACAAAATCTACATTTGTTTTATTTCTTTTGGGTTTTTGTTTTCCCAATTTATCAATCATGAATTAATTTTTATTGATCGTGACTTATATAATTGAAGGATATCAACTTTATTTTTTTAAATGATAACATACATAATTAACTAGTGTATTTAATAGAACTAATTAAGAAAATGATTGGTCAACAAGAATTTTGGACCAGTATTTCAAAAGTTTTTGACATATTATAATGATAGGTGATACGAGTGTTACTTTTATCATTAAAAGTCATTTTCCATCTGTATTCTTTTTCTTTACCTAGTTATAGACCATTCTAATTAATAATTCCTGCCAAAACATGACGATTCAAAGAAGTACTCTGTATTAAAGTTACATTGGATATAATAACAATTTTCCTACAAAAATACTAAAAAAAAGTGTTGACGCAAAACAAGTCATAAGGTTATTAGAGGTATATAAGCGAATATTTTTCAATCTGGTATTAATATAAGTTTAGTATTCATAATGGTACATTGTTCCCAAAATAAATACATTAATACATAATATAATTTTTGTAGTTTTTTAAATTAAATATTATTTAAATTTTTAGTTCTAAATTAATATTTTTAATTTACTAGTTTATAAGTTAACTAATTTTAAATAATATTAGCCACAAATAATAAATTCTTAATACAAAACTAGTTAATTATGTATGTTAGCACTTGAAAACTTTTAATTAACAGTCTTTGTATTGTTTTAATTTTTTTGATTAAGAATATTCATGATAAATTAATTATGCCCTATACATTAAATAGGTTTTTTTTTGATACTTTAAAAATTCCCAAATAGTAAGCCATCAGCAACCAATAAATGACATTAAACAAAACTTAATACTAGTGCTTAGAAGCCACTTTAATACCAACAGTTTAACCCCAAAAATAGTAGAAACAAAAAAAAAGTTAAAATAAACTTACCCATCAAAAGTTTGGTCTAAAGCCTGAACAATAACAGGAGCTTGTGGTAACATTGATTCTTTGAGTGGTGGTGGAAAAGCAATAAAGTTTAAATTAGATTTAGGATTGCTTCCTAAATCATTACAAAAAAAAAAAATGTATAACATAATATTTATGGTTCAAAAATAATTATATTTTTTATGATTATAGAAAAGATTAAAAAACTTCAATAAGAAAAATATTTTTACCTGATTGAGATGTTTGAAGCCCGTTATTTACTATAGTTATTTGTCTTGCTGATTTACTATAAGTTGTCACTGGTAAGACTAGTCTAGACTTTAAAAATGTCAATTGTTGAGGACTTTGCATTTCAGAGGTCTCACTGTTAGCTAATAAAATTAATTGTTTATTTAGGAATAATACAATTCATTCGGTAAAAAAAAAATAATAACAAATATAAATAAAATAAAAAATATCTTAAATATTGGGTTATAATGTAAATAATTTATATTATACCAGTAGATGACACATAGTGAAGAACACCATTTGTATGAGATATTTTGCCTGGTGATTTAGATTGATTGGAACTTGAAAAATTGGAATCATCTTGAGGCTGATCTGAAGATGAAACAGGAGGAGATGGAGAATTTTCTCTAGACAATGAATCAGTAATTGATAATTCACATCCACCACCCCCAGTGAGATGATTAGGTGAAGGTGGGGCACTTCTAAATATTAAAATAAATTAAATAGATACTAAATCTTTCAACAGTTAATTAATGTAAATAAATTAGTTAATAAACTAAGTATAGACGCTATTTGACAGTGATTTAAATCACTATCATAAGAAACGCTTCGATGCACATCTTTAGATAGTGTTTAATTTTAAGAAATTGGTATATTAATCCAAAAGCAACACCCACTTATATTTCCTTAATTATATCCAGATAAGTAATTCTTAGATTCAAAAATATAATACATAATATATAATTTTTTAATTATATATTATATAATTTTTATAATTAATAGTTTTCAAATTATTATTGATTTTGATTTTTAATATGTTAAAAGTAATCATTTTTAACCTACTTTTTTTTTTCAAAGTTTATTATAAAAAAAAATTTAATTTATTGCCTTAACTTTTAGCTCAACTTGCAAGTTTGAAATTGATATCATTAAATAGAAAAAAAATGGTATTGTGAAAATTAATATGCAGTCAGAAAGTCTTATAATTACTATTTACAATAAATTTATTAGAAAAGCTCGATTTATTTTTGCATTTTTATCGTAATAGATCACTTAAATAGAAATCATTTCTAATTAACTTTTAGTGTTTAAAAAGATTCTACAATTGAAATATATAGAACTGAATTAATATTAATGATTTAATTTAACTAAAAAAAACCAATAAAAAAAAATTGTTAAAAAGATCTACTCAATTGAGTGTATTATAAAATATGATTATAATTGTAAAAATCAATTGTTAAATTGAGGCGAAACTAAAAATAATTATTTTTTGGATTTATTATTGATATAACAACATGTTTAATTTTAAGAAATTGGTGGATTATTCCAAAAGGAAAATTCATTCCTATTTTTTGTTCTTCAACATCCATTAGCACATAAAAAATAGGTTGTTGGTACAAATTTTTTTTTTTGAACTTCTAGTACATAAAATAAGCTTTATTTTAACATATATTTAAAAAACACAGTATTCCCTGAAGATTTTTAAAAGTTAAGTTGAAAATTCTCTACTTTCTGTACATATCTTTCAAGTTTTGAATGCCACCTGTTGTATAAGGGGAAATTCACTGATTAAAAAAAAAATATGTCGAATGAAAGAAGTATATATAATTATTTAGGGAAAAAAAATTTGTGTTGGTAAATAAATTTTTTGAAAAGTTATTGGAAATTAAATTTGAAAATTTAAAATCGAAAATTTTAACACATAAATAGCATTTATTTAACTACAGCAGCCGATTACACGTAGAATATAAGTCAACGGGACACATATTTTTTTTTAAATTTATAGTATGTAACATAAGTTTTAATTTGACACATACTTAAAAGACACAGTATTTCCGGAACATTTTCAAAACTTAAAGTGATAAAGTTGAGTATTGTAAAAAAGTTGTATTTTAATCCCCTCTTGTGGATAGATAAAGGGTCAGATTTTCAAAAATATTATATCAAATAAAAGGGAATTACTTAAGGTTTCAATATAAAAAAAAATTATTTTGATTTGTTCATTTTTTAATAAGTTATGCAATTTTTGAAAATAAAATGTGGAAATTTACCGATTTTAAAAATTGTAATTCTTGGGGGAATTATGCATCATTTACAAGAAACAACGGACATCTTTTCACTTTTTAAGGGTAATGTCTTCAACTGTGGGACGGTGTGGCCGAGTCGGTAACGCGGCAGCGCTTGACGCGTAGTGTCTTAGGTTCAAAACTCGGTCACGGGCGGCTTCATTTACCGAACGAGAGATCAGTTCGGTAATTTGGAGTCACCATCCCACCTCCGGCGACGGACTAACCACCCGTCCCGGAGTATAAATGGTTAAGAAACCTCCTCCTTTGGGGAGGCCGCTGTGGCCCTTAATGGGCTAATAAAAGCGCGTAAAAAAAAAAAAAAATAAAATGTTTTCAACTAGATAAAAAAAAAAAAAAAAACTCATACTAAAATTAATATCTTCTCAGGCTTTGCATTGAAGCTAAAAAGGGATATTAAACATAGATTTATATTGAAACCTTAACACTATTTTACAAAGAATGAATTCCATATATAAATACACACAAATTATAATAAGTGTCCATTTTTAACCTACTTTAAATTGTAATTAATTTTTTCAAAAACATTTAGCAGTCTAAAAAATACTATACTAAACAACTACACTAATTTAATATTAACGTAACAAAAATATTCTTTTTAAAAAATTTGTAAATAAAAACACAGAGCAATTCCTTTAATGCTAGGGATTCAATTTTTCTTAAAATAATGTTTTTTTTTTTTGTTTATACTAATTACATATGTATCTCCATCCTTTATATCTTACAGGATTGTCAACTTTATTTTTTTAGATGGCAACATACTAACTTATAAAATAGAAAATGATCTGATTAAGTTAATGACTTAATAACAACTTTTAGATTTTAAGTTAACACCCCTATAAGATATAAGGAATGGACCTAAAATTTATTTTATAAGAAATAAATGGACTTACATATATAACAAACAAAACCAAAAAAACATTTTTATTTAATTTATTATTTTAAGAGAAATTGAGTGACTAGTATAAGTGTTAAAAGAATTACTCTGTATAAGATATAACAAGATTAACACTAATTAATAATGATTAGCTATATTGATAAATTATTGTGATATAACGATGGAAGCCTAATGGGACATTATTACGTACACTGCTTAAAATTAAATGTGGTGAATTTGACTTGAATGGAAATTTTTATAATTTTCAAAATTATTTTGGTGTAGGACACACTTTAAATTGTAAATAAATAAATAAATATATATATATATATATATATATATATAATTATTTAACCATTCTGTAAGTATTTCTTATTAAAAAAAATATATCCTATATGTATTTAAAATAGTTTGTAATCATCAATCTATTATAAAATTGTACTCCTTTTTCACTAGCTATAGAAGTATAGTTAAATCAAATTAGTATTAAATACAGAATTTAAAATCAAGTACTATAATAGTAAATAATACATTCCCTTTTACTTTAATTAGTATATTTTAGAACTCAATATAAATAATTTATTTTTACCTTGAAGACATTCCAAATGAATTATTCAATCTAAAACTAGGAACTCCTCTGATTCTTCTACGCCGGAAAGCCTGTTCAATTAATTTTTGTTCGGAAGAAGGATCAATCCTCCAAAATGCTCCTTTACCTGGCTCTTCTTGAGAACGAGGTACCTAAATAAAATAAAAAATTTGATTATGAACTATTAAAAAATAACAATATAATAAAAATCTATCACTTGTATCCAGGGCCGCATTTAGGAATTTTGCCGCCCGGTGCACTTAATTTTGCCGCCCCCCAAAAAGTGTTGGGTTGGGTTTTTTAGTTGAGCAAAAAAAAAAAGTCTTCAAAGCAATTTCCCTTGTTTACATTAGACATCAATTTTAAATTTTAAATTAAATAAAAATAATTAATTTTTAAAAATTGTATACCTATTAAGATTTTTGCCGCCCTTCAAAATTTGCCGCCCGGGGCAAATGCCCCCAATGCCCCCCCCTAAATGCGGGCCTGCTTGTATCTAATATTATTTAAAATTAATAATATTTTTGATATAGTTTTTATTTTAAACAAAAATAACAAGTTACTATTTATGAAAATTAATTACTTTGATGAAGTAACGATTTAATGATAAATTGTGTCTGATTGAATTTTGCCATCCTTTGTCCACAAATCGATAATATGGGTAATTTTTGGTAATATAAGAATAAATTCCACTGAGAGTAAGTTGACGATCTGGAGCAGAAGCAACTGCTTGCACAATAAGTTGAGCATAAGAGTAAGGTGGTTTCGAATCATCCCTCGATTTTGAATTAGTATTACTATTGTTGTTATTAGTTGGTGCTGATTTATCTTGGATCACAGTTTCAGGAGGACTATAATTTGGTATATTTGATGTTGATGTTCCATTTCTATAAAATTCACCAACATATTGCTCACTTCCTATGCTAACATCAAATACAGCTGGATCTAATGGGCTAGTTTCTTCATCTCTATTATTTTGACTAGACATTACAAGGTGTTTACTAAAAAAATAAAGAATAATTATATAAAATTATAAACCAAATTAAAATTAAATAACTTTTACTTTTCTTCTACATATATTGCAGATGAAGTAGGTGTAGCTATAACCCCTATTTGACCAGGATTTGCTACAGCAGCTGCATATGCTGCCATTTGTAAGTCTGGTCCAAGGGTGTGTCTATTATGGCCTCCTCTAGGACTAGTTGGACAAGAATTGGCAGCACTATAGAAAATTTTTTTATCACATATGAAGAAAAATTTAAATAAATATTAAATAATTATAAAATATATAGAATTATCCTAATATTACAAATATAATTTTTGATATAAAACTCATATCAAATGAAATAAAATAAAATAGGAGTTGTCCTAAACAATTAATCATATTCATTATTTTAACTAAAAAATAAATACTAAAACAATACTTTTTAAAAGAAATAACAAATCATCTTATGTGTTAATTTTTATATAAAAATATTCATAATGAAGTTTTAATTTTAATTTAAAAAATCAAAATTACATGAAAATAATGCTAATTAATTTAGTATTTATTATTTGTATTTATAATAAAAAAGGAAATTTCTAGAATTAATCTAATTACAATAATTTAATTTTTGATAAAAATATTAATCGTAATTCCTAATTTTCTACATTCAATAATGAATTAAATCTTTTTTGTTTGTCAGTGATTAATATTATTTAAATAGAATTTTACATAGAATAAACACATTAATTTTAATAATGCATTATCAAACTATAAATAAATAAATTATTTCAAAAGATGCAAAACTATTAAATGTTAATTCACTGGTGCTTTTGCCAAACATATTTTTAGTAAAAATACTATGAAGTGTTACACCTCAAATTTGATAATTTGTTATTGTTTTGTAATTTGAAAAAATATTTAGTAGTATTCTACATTAATTACATTTATTGGGATAAAAATATTAAAATAACTTATTGACAATAGACAAGTATTACCTGATATTAAAAAAAAAATTAATTTTATGATATATACATATATAAAGGCAGAGGAAAACCCCATAATTTGATAAAACATATACAATTTTTTTGCAAAAGTTATAATCCAGTTCAGTGGCATACATTTTTTGAAGGGGAGATTTTATGCTCCAACCCCCTCCCCCACAAATTTAACATTTTTTAATGGTCTTTTAATATTTTATGATTTATTACATTCTTTAAAAATATATATAATAAATTAATTGATTTTACATACCAAATATAAAAACTTAAATAGTCAAAAACTCAACTAAACAATACTTACTTAGAGAAATTCATAATTTTTTATTCAAATATATTAGAAACTAACCTAAGAGTGCCTGTAGGTGATGGAAATGGACTCATAAATCTATTCTCCTTAGATAAATATGTAGTTGGCTCTTGTTTAATAATTTGAGGAGGTATATGTATACTTAATGGATTGGCATAGCTTCTAGATGGTGTAGTTGCTGTTCTAGTTTGAGTTTGAATCAGTGAATTTTGAAGGATAGGAGGAGGTGCCATTTCATCAATTAAAGAATAGAACACTAACCGAATTGTTGTGCTTGGAAAACGCATTAAACATCTGAAAGAATGATTAACTATAAAACATATAACCACAAAATACTTTTATGTTTAAAATTATTTTCTAATAATAAATATTACTGATGTTAGAAACTTTGATTTTTGGGATAAAACTAAACTTTCAATTTTAAAATTAAACTTGAACTGAATAATCCAAATATTTTATTGAACTCAAACAAAACGTTTTTTATATCATTATTCAATAAATTTAGTGTTAAATTTGATTATACTACTTTGATTTCCAAACAGAAACAAAGATGCCAGGTTTGGTTTGATTTGAAAGTAAAACAATTGAATATCACTAATAAATTTGTCAAGGATTAATTTTAACTTAAAAAGAGGTACCAAACTATTTTATTTTTTTATGTTCTCAATATTAGTATTTATCTTTTATTACTGTTATTATTTTTGAATAGCAGTTTTTAGAAATGGTGAAACTAGTTTAAAAGGGGAAAAAAAGGAACAATCCCAAGACAATAAGGTATAAGGACTGAAGCAATCACATACCCAAACTCGAATAGCAAAAGAAAATTCTTAAATATACAAATATTTCAATAATTTATCTGAATAATTGAAGGTATAATAATAATTGAACAATATTAAATGTAAATATTTAATTTTTCCGTACATCTTCTGGAAAATGCAGTTATAACAAGAACATGTTGGTTATAGCTACAAATGCAATTGACTATATAATTTATTAAGCTTCATTAATTGTCAGAAATATTTAAAAAAAACAAATTAGGTTGATTGTAAAACATAGTTTATAATTATGATATATATACAAATTTTTAATGACTAAATTTTTAGCTAACTGAACTTTTTTAATATATTTAGTTTTATTTTTTTTCAGTGATATATCACATGACACCTAAAAATTATTCAAAAATAAAGGTGGGCTGACCATTTTTATAATCAAAAATTTCCAATTAACATCATCAAATATGTTTGATGGCTAGAGCAATTTCAACCTAAAGAATTTATCTACAACTATAATTAAAAAAAAGTCGACTTGCAAAAGAATAATTCTTTGCAACCTTTCAAGTCTGCTTTTAAGCATTAGTAGGGACAACAATTGAGTTTAAACCATGAATGATACTTATACATTAATGTATATAACACTAACTACTAATAATTATAATATATCCAAAATGTATAGCTAATTCTGTCATATCAAGGTATTTAAACTACCAGAAGAAGCTTAAGTTATAAATAAACTTTTTTTTTATTTGATGCATAGCATTAAGATATTAAAAACTCCCATTATATGATAAATGAGAAAGTTCATATGATGAAAAACAACAAATAATCATATCTTATATTAAATGGTCCCATAATTTTGATTGTCTGAGTGTAATTGATGTTAAAATAAAAACATAATGTATTGTAAGTCAATAACGTTGATAAGAAATATTAAGCTAGTATATAATGGTCTATTTCGAACTTTGGCAACAAGGAGACCTTGAAAACCCGTTATGAACGCGCGCAGCCATTTATAACCAAACAACAAAAACACGTTATCATCATCAACAATAAAATATTGTTTTTTGTCCATATCATTTTGAAAAACAAATATAATAGTAAACACTAGATGAAGTACGATAGCCTGGTGGCGAACAATATGATCGCCATGTGCAAATAAATATGTGATTTACGGCCCCAACTTACCGTCTGGGCAGCTGTAACGCTGGTGCTCCTTTTCTCTGGAATACACCGTCCACAAATACGCCGTTTTTGCCATGGCACGTCAAGTAAAAGTTTGGATGTTCATAGAGCACATCTAAATGTCTGCGTGATATAAAGCTCGAGTGTCCCATATTTACATCCACCTGTCCCTTGGAACTATTCCGACCAATAACAATACGCTTTTGTCTAATGAGATATTCGAGCTCTCGACCCTCTAACTTTGCTATCACACCAGTTACATCCTGATCTGGAGCCCATTGCACGTTGGTCGGACTACCGGGCATAGACTTGAGCGCATGCAACGTCCAATCTGTATCCGACATGACCAGAGATGGCGTTGACAGGTCGATCGAGTGGTCGCGTTGAAACGACCACCACTGCGAAAAACGCCGACAAAATGTCTAAAATTCAAAAACGAATGTCAGACAGAGAGAATTAAAAGTTACCGGCGAGGTATCGGTCACAAGTATACGACGTACTAAGATTAGTTAATACTAAGCACACTTTTGTTTACAAGCAGATGACCGGCCTCGAGCGGAGGGTGTGTACCACGTGACGATCGAATCGAACTGCTGTTGACTGGCGGCGGCGTTGCCGCTGCAGAACATCGGACACGCGTCAAATGAGCGAACCAAAAGCCGCGGCGGCAGCGTCTTTATGCGCGTGCACGCCGTTGGACAGGGCGACGCGCGACGGTCGACTTTAGCGAACGAGGAGCGCAGACGGCGAAGTTAAAGCGTTTCGACGGCAGAACGTCGACACCGTTTGCCGATGGAAAAAATAATAAATAAATAGTAATCAAAAACTCACACACACACACACACGAATTTTAAGTGCGCGCGCGCTGTGCTATCTCGCCTGCGTGTGAGAGTGTTTGTTAGTGCGTGTGTGTCGTAATCAGTTTCGTTTCGAGCAACTCGACGGCTTATGTGTTGATGAACAGCGACGGCGGTAGCTTACAGTACAGTAATAATAATCACACGATATTATTACAAGACTGGTGAACCTCACGCACGCACTCGCCCAAAAACCTTGCCAATTGAATCGTACGTCAAATACACATGGGTTATGTGTGTATGTGTGAGGTTCCGGCACTAAACAAAAAACAGCTGAGCCGACGCTCTTTATCATAAACATGTCAAGCTCATTGTAAATACAATGTCCAAGGAGAATAGATATCCCCCATAAAATTGTTTACACTATGATAACGATTTATATTGTAGTACAGAATCTCACTATTTTACCTATGTTACTTACCATTTGATACCATTGTTCTTACTTATTCGATATAAGTATTGTTCTAATAATAACAATACCTAAAATAGCGTACCTTAGTAACACAACAACACAGGGAAAATTCACTATATTAATATGAATTTGATTTTTAAAAGGAGTGTAGCTTTCTGATCAGAATGACCTCCCACCATATTACCTCTCGTAATCATTTATTATTGTTTTTATGTACTACGTATGCAGTACATACTGTAATCATACTACGTCCGTAGGTAGATGGCCGACGTAATGACGAAAATTGTAGAAATCAAAACAAAACCTGCAGCCGGCATAACGACAACAAGTTAATTGTGTTTATCTAAACCATAATAACAACAATTACACCGGTATCGACAATGGCGCTATAATATTACTCTCGTTCATGTTATATAACCACACAATAACTTCCGAATTTTGTTTGATTTATTTTATGAAATAAATTAATAACACATTAATAATTGTTGTATACTAAAAAATAACGAGGATAAATTTGTTTTTCATCTTAATTAAATCGATCTTTTCAATTAACGTTTATTTACCTAACCCAACCGAAAGTGTATTTGGATTAATGTGTACTTCAATATTACTTTTAAAAATTCATATAATTCTCAGATAAACGTTTCATTGATCAGTATATATTTTAGACTTGTCAGAAGATTGTAGTTTTTTAAATTTACCTCAACTTTTCGCAAATAACGTCAAAATTATAATATTGGCAACGAAATATCTACAGACTACATATACGATCAAAAAATAAACTTATGACGTATTTCGGACTATGACCTTTGAACTAACTAGTAAAACCTGTACTAAATGAAAAAACTATAACCGGAAAGCTTCATTTGAGTGTAATACTATGGTAACGTTATGACGCTGGATAATTTAATGCATAATTTATATTGATACGTATATACTAAAATGTGAAAAAGAAATTACGACCAATACATATTAAAATAACAAGCGTATTACAAATGTTTCATACTTGTGTAACGTTTATACAAGAATTATTTTAATTTATTATACATTTTCCATTAGAAATAGGTAGATGATAAATTATTTGTACTCAATTTTAACGCATCCTATTAACATTATTGACATTAATTAGGTTTAATATTTTAATACATTGTTTTATATATTTAATGATTCTTATGAATAGTTTAATGAAATTAAAACGTTAAGTATTAAAAATTAAAAAATACATTGATTGCATTTTCAATTTCCTACTTTAAAAATTGCAATGTACTCAATGATAAATTATTCAATTATTTATCTACGTCGATTACAACTCTCTTTAAATAGAAACAAAAAAAAATATGATTTAAAAACATACATTATAGTGCTTATCTTTTGATGAGTCGTTAGTTAAATTTTTGTGTTTACTTAACAAAAAAAGACTTTTATAAATTTTTTAGTAATAATACTGCTAATTTTTTATCATATTACACATGGTGAAAAAATACGTATTTTTGTATAATAATTCTATTTATTTATTTATTGATAAAAAATAACATTTTTCAATTTTTTTTTTTTGTGCTATATAAAATTATTTCTTACAATCACCACAATTCAGATATTATTGATTTTTATGAACCATGTGTCCTAATACAAAATTGTACTTAAATAACTTTCCTTTAAAAATTAATTTGAATATTGAACTTGTATGCTTAAAATTACTTAAAAACAAATAATATATTTCATCAAATACAGTTATCTAAATTATTCATGGTTACATAAAAATAATATTAATTTTTATTAATTTTTTGGGTTATGCATTAAAAATTTTAATTTAAGTAATATTATTACTAGTAATTTTTATTTATTTTTTCGTAAAACTAAATGTAATATTTTCAGTGCATTAACACAATAAATATTCCATATATAGTATTACTTAACAAATATTATTTTTTACCATGATTTTTAGAAAAGTAATTTGTTTGTAGATTTTTTTGAATAGAAATTTTATTTTTATGTAAATTTAATTAAATTTTAAGTAGGTTCAAGGGTTACATATTGAAGATTATTGTATTTTCAATATTCAAATATTTTGAAAACTCTTCTCATACTGAAAATTTTGATCATACCATTGATTTAACCGAATTAATTTTATTTTAAAATTAGTTATCAATAAATTGTGTCATTTACAATAGTTTTTGTAAATTGAACTTTTAATTATTTATGAGTCACTTTAAACATATAAATATTGGACTTCATTTACTAAATTTAGTCAAATTAATAATTTTCATTAACATGACTTACAAATTTCTATTATGTAGTAAAAAAAAAAGTGTTGGGTTGTGTGATTATTATTACCAATTGTTGTTAATCGTTAGTAATCGGGTTTACAAAATTTCATTTTTTTTTTTTTTTACCTTAAGTGTGTACTTGTAAGTTTCAATTGTGCCATAAAATAATAAAAATAACAAACTAAAAATTTAAAAATAAATACTTACAACAACGTATTATATTTTTTTCGTATTATGATTAGATAGTCCCTAAGAGTTTAAATATTCTTACAATTGAACCATACATGTTTTATATTCTATAAAGTATTTTGATTTTACTTAAAAAAAAAAGAACCAAATCACGTAGAATTTAAAGTGACAATAATACTCTTAACCAGCCAATCCTATTGACAATTATTTAATTTTTATTTATGTGTAATATTGAATAATTATTAAATTTAGGTAACAGATTTCTAGCATGTAGATAGCCAATTTTAATATTTTAAACTGATTTAAGTTAATTTAATAAACACTCCTACAAAATTTTAGATGTTGGTAACTAAAATTAATAATAGTCAATAATACTTTGTAAACATTTAATACGATTAAATTATAATCAAATTTATTTTTATACTCATTAGTCATAGCACTCATGTTAAATAATGCTATTTGTGAATTGTATTCACTGAACTCAAATTCTATTATATAAAATTGATATCACTATAATGGATATATTCAATATGAAGTTTAATATGAGATATTACGATTCATTAATTATATCTACATTTATATATATTATAAACATATAATTAAATTCCGATTAGGCCAATTGTAGTAGTACGCTACTAGTCTATAGCTCCATAAAATTAGTCTTAAAAATAATTTATCTTTAGTGCAAATATCATCAAATAACTCTTGGGTATGACTTCAAGAATACAACATGTTAATAATTAACTATAAAATATATATTTTATAGTTAAATTCATAAAATAATATAAGGCAACATAAATAAAAAATAATATACGCATTTAAAATGTTTAGATTAAATTGAGAGATTAAGATCATATTTGTAACAGTAAAACTAAAACAATCAATTCTGTTGTAGCATCTTAAATTACTAATAAATACCACCATTTTGTTTAAAAATCAATATAAAGACACACAATTGTGTTTGTTATAGATCTAAAATATAAATTTTCATAAATGATTGTAAATTATTATTATTTAGGATAATTTATGGAAATCTATATTTTTATATGATAGGATCAGCAGGCATTATAAAAACAGTGAAATTAAACATATAGACTTTTTCATTTTTAATATCTCAGAAATGTAATTCTATGTATAGTTCTATGATGATACATAGTTTTTGATAAATTGTTAAATTAAGATCCATTTTTAAGAATTCTCTTTTACAGAGTTTTAGAAAAAATTTTACTATGTAAAAGTATATTTATTGAAAAACTAAATGTATTATTCAATATGTTCGTGTTTTTTAAAGTTTACATAACAAATTATACATAACTTTTTTAACTTAGTTTGAAATAATAAATAAACTAATATATAATTTTTATTTAAACCATTAATGATTACCAATGTCATTTATCATTCTAACGAAAAAATTGAATTGCTATGTGATTAAGATATCTCGGTCAATAATCATACAGATATTATATCTCTTAGTAAAGTTAATCATTATAAGTTAGTAAAAATAAATGCTATAATTTAGATGAATAGTTTGTACAAAAAATTAAACATTTTACTTATAGTAACGATTCATGTCATTAGGCACAACATTCTCTGTTTTCCAATTAGAGGTGATGGCGATAGTGGTAGAACCTGCTGGTATACAAGAATAAGAAGTTAACTATCTTAAATGACAGTCAAGCGGCTTTAAAAGCACTTTGTAATGATCAGGTGAATGCAAAGCTTGTCTTCGAATGCAGAGAAACTTTAGAATCACTATTGAGGTTCAACAAAGTTATACTAACGTGGACACAACGGTGTCACTAAAATGAATGCTGACTTTCTAGCCAGGAAAAAAGCAAAGAACACCTATGTGTGGACCAGAACCAGTGGTAGGACTCACTGAGCAATCGCTTAAAGCGCTACCTAAGAATTGGTGCAAAAAACTACACAGCAAAATCTGGAAGTACTCGGTAGTACCTAAACAATCTAAAATGTTTATCAAGACCCCCGGTCTACTGCTGAGTAATCTTAATAGTATGACTAGACATCAAATAAACACTTTGACTGGTCTACTGACAAGACATGGTCAATTGCTGAAAAAGTCTTTACGCAATGGAGGTATCGGAATCACCATTATGCAGGAAGTGTGGAGTAGAAGAGGAAGATTCATTTCACAATGTGTGATATTATGAAATAATATTACCTTTTCCTGAAAAAGAAGATATTAAAAACCTAAGACCCACAGAGTTACTGAATTTTGCCGGAAAGACAGGACTCTTTGGTCATCCATAAGGGTGAATTGATGGTCTTATACAATGATAAGTATATTACAATAACACTTAAGTGGGTAAACCGAATCAAGACAATTCGGTATG